CCACTTTCAATCAGCTGTGTGACCTTGGGCAAGTCAGTCTCTCTGAGCTTGAGTTTTTCCCTCTGAAATGGGGATAAGAACTCAGCAGCCCCTTCCTGGGCTAGCTGTGAGGGCTGAAAGGATGCTTTGGGAGGCCCCAGCTGAAGGGCGGCCTTCTGTCCTCTCACCACCTCCCGCTACTGTATGAGTGAGGAGGGCTGATCTTTCCTGGGGTGGGCAGGGGCAGGAAGCCTGGGGGGTTGAGGTCCCAGGCCAGCAGGGCTGGTGTCCTCTCCTCTTGGCTCTCTAGGAACTCACTTGTCCCCTCAGCCAGATGCCCAACCCTTCTTTTCTGAGGACCCTGCAGGATGGAGCTTGGGCCTCAGTTTTCCCATCTGTGCAATGGGAACAACAGGGCTGGTGAGGGAGTTGGAGGTGGGCTGGGTACAGTGCCCTGTGAGTGGGACCCAGAGCGGATCAAAAGCCTGTCCCAGGAGACCTGTGCCTCAGCCCTGACCACCATCTGCCCACACCTCAGTCACAGGGACTGGGGCTTTCGTCTCCTCTTGCGTTCTGCTTTCCTCCATCTGTCCTGTACATTTCACTCCTGTCTGCTGTTGTTTCCCTTTGTTTCATGTGGGTTGGGAGAGAGTCAAGCACGTGGTTCTCTGCTTTTGTGCTGTGCCACCCAAGAGGTAACAAAACCTCCCCTCTGCCTCAGTTTCCTCACCTGTAAAGTGCAGGAGCACCCACCACCTGGGATCAGTGCGAGGTTGACGTTCACCTAGAGAGAATGGGGCCTCCCAGAAGGCAGGGCTCATGTTCCTTGGAGGAGACCAGAAAAGCTCGCTCATGGACCAGTGCAGAGAGATAGCAGCTCCAACTCAGGATACACTCATGCAGCCCATCGTGAGAAAAGGCTGACCCAGGGAAAGATGGCACAAGAGGCCCCAGATCCCAGCCATGTGGAACAGCTCTGGCCAGTGTGTGGGCGACTGGCAGGGTGAGAGGTGCCCCGTTCTGAAACCTCCCTCCCACTGTGGGGGCTGAAGGACAAGCCAGCCATGGCCTCCACTAGCCATGGCCTCTCCCTACCCTGGGAGAGGAGGGACAGGGAGACTTTGGCTTCTCATTCTGGCCACTCACCTGTTCTCCAGGGGCCTTGGTTGTCCATTTACCTTCTCTGGGTCTCAGTTTCCTCATCGGTAAGTGAGAAATGAGACCTTCCTCACAAGGGCATGTGCAAATGAAATGAGACAGCGTATGTGCAGAGCTATCCAGCCTGCCTGACGTGCCAGTGCACTGGGGACAGTGATGGAGAGGAGACTGTGGGGGACAGGCGGGGGCTTCGCCACAGTGAGGTTGCCTGTGTGCATGTTGTGGGGGACACTGACCAGGGACCTAGTGACAGACTGCCCAACACAACCTCTTGGCCTTCAGAAGACCAGGCTGACCCCAAAGAGGAAAAGGAACTTGAGGCTACACAGCAGTTGCTAGAGCTGGGTTTTGACCCCTCTGGTGCAGGCTCTTGGGCTGCCTACCATGAGGCTTGCCAAGGGAGGCCTCAAGCTCCACCATCTCTGATCCCCAGGCTTCCCACCCACCCTGGCCCCAAATGTTCTAGGACGCCTGGTGAAGCAGGCCAGTCAGTTCTGCTACTGCGTAGCCCCTGCCCTGCCTCCATTTTTCTGTCTCTAAAATGGGTTGTTGTGAGGACTCAGCAGGCGATACAAGGCCTCCCCAGCCCTCCCGGCACTCACTATCTGTTCTCTGCTGTCCACGTGTTCCTGCAAAGGTTGATCTTCAACCCAGAGGTCAGTGCTGTTGTCTCTGTGCCTGAGGAAACCAAGGCCTGGGGAGACGGAGGGTCTCTCCTGAGGTCACAGTTGTCTATCCACCCTGCCTCATTCATGTATTGCCTCACAGGTGAGAAACGCTCAGCACATGCCTCTTCCTTCCCCGTCCTCACTCCTCTCCAAGGCTTGGCTCCCAGCCTGCCTCTCCTCCCAGCCTCTCAGACCCCCACCATGGCCCCTCTTCCCGCTCCTGGAGTTCTTCCTGTCTATCCCTGTCCCTGTTTCCCTGACACTTGCCCGGTGCCAGATGCCGTTCTCAGCTCCTTAGACCATGACCTCCCGAGGTCACAGTGGCTCACACCTGCTGTCCCAGCTACTTGGGAGGCTGACGCAGGAGTTAAAGACCAGCCTGGGTAACATAGCAAGACCCCATCTGCGTGCACACACACACACACAATTATTTTTTTAACTGGCCGGGTGTGGTTGTGCATACCCATGGTCCTAGCTACTTGGGAGGCTGAGGTGGCATTGTGTGATCACTTGAATTGGAGGCTGCAGTGAGCTACAATTGCACCCCTGTGGTCCAGCCTTGGTGGCTGAATGAGACCCAGCTCAAAAAAAAAAGGAAGTAATGAATGACTGTGTGAGTGAGGGAGCGAGGGGGTGAGCGAGGAGGGTGGTGTGGTGTGTGAGGTTTCCTCACCTGCCAGGTAGTGACACCTGGGAGGTTTCTGAGTGACACCCGAGAAGCTGGGTGGGTCCTGCTTCCTGCAGCTGCTGCCAACTGCGTCCCAGACTGGGCGCGGGGATCCTAGCTTCTCTGACATGACGCAAAAGCTGTGTCAGGCGGGCAGAAGAGTTCAAGGGTCACCAGCCGGGGGTGGGGCCGGTAGCTTCTGGGGTCATGTGGGGCTCCCGGGTGCAGTGAAGGGCACAAATGGCGAAGGTTTTCAAAAGTGGAGAAAGGGTCTGGACAGAACAACCTCCTGGGACTGACTGATCTTGGGACCCCTCATCCAAGTTGGCCCCTGTACGGGCAGGACAGAGTCACGGCCTGGCTGGCCTCAAGTCCTGGCTGTTTCTTACTAGCTGTGTGTCCCTAAGCAAGTTCGTGAACCTCTCTGCCTGTTTCCTATCTGCAGATGGGGGTATTATACCTACCCTAGAGGGTTATTATGAGAACTAAGTAATATGTAGAAAAGTGTTGAGTCCACAGTGCCTGTACCACAGAAAGGGCTCGATAAATTCAAATAGTAATATTATTATACTTATTATTAATAAAGACACAGAGATCATGAAGGACCAAATTGCAGGCACTCAGCAGGCAGAAGCCAAGGTGAGACCAAGTCCTACCTGGTGACTCCAGCTAGAGGCACCAAAGCCTGGGATTGTGCCGAGGCTCTGGAGCCTGGCCGCCTGGGCTCCCAGACAGCTCTGCCCCACTCACAAGCTGTGTTACCTCAGGCAACCTCCTTAACCTTTCTGTGCCTCGGTGTCCCCATCTGTAGAAGAGGGATTATAGTAGTGCACCTACCTCATAGGGTTGTGGGGAGGATTCTGTGTGAATCAAGTGGAAGAGCGCCTTGTACCCGGAAAACACTCCATAGCCTCAACAGACACGATGCTATGTGACCTCGAGCAAGCCTCTCTCCTCTGGGCCTCCACCACATCCCTGTGAAATGAGTCATTACGCAGGTTGAGCCTGAGGCTCCTCTGGGCTCTGAGGGCTACAGTTCTGGGGAGGGGAGTCATGCCCCTCCCACCTTCATAGTTCCCATGTACTTGAGGACGGGGTCCCCCTGAACTCTCCGTCCTCGCTCTCCTTGCCTCCTTTCCCCTCCTTAAGGATGGCAGCTGAAGGGGCTGGGGTGTCCGTTGTAGGGTTGGGACAGTGCGGGGAGGAGAGGTGATGGGTTTCCTCACACTAGCCTTCTGTCCTGTTCCTGCTACCACTAGTACCCTCTGTCCTCACGCTGGGCAGCTGGGCTAGGCCCCTGCTTCTCTCCAACCGGGGTGGTGCCCTCACAGGCAGGCCTGGCTTGCCCCTCCCTCAGAGAAGCCCTCCCCCTTCCTGGCCCTGTAGAGCTAGGCAGGTGCTGCCCGGGAGTAAAAACATCAGTCTGTGAGTCAAGCCCTGCCCCTGCTGTGTGACTTCAGGCAGACCCCTGACTCTCTGAGCCTGTCCTGGGGTCTGCACAGGGCGGGTCGTGTCTCAGCCTGTCCTGTGGAGCTAGTGATAGGAGTCACCACCCAGGGAGGTAAGGGCCTGACTCGGTGGTCTGCATTGCCCTCCTCCCCTTCACCCCTCCCACCCCACATGGCTTGAGTCACTTCAGGGGAGTGGTGCCCCTGACTGGAACCCCAGGGTGGGTTCCAGGAAACCCCGCACCAGGAAGCAAATCCTATTCTCCGTCACCCCTCCCCGATCCTCCTCCTTCCCACAAGCCTGTGTCCATTGTTGCCCAAGACAATCAGATCTCACATGGGAACCAGGAGGAGAACCTACCCCACACCCTCTGCCCTCCTCAGGGACATCTTCAGACCCACCGAAGCCCCAGCCCCACTCACCTCCTGCTTCCCCATTGGTACCCCAGCCCCAGCAAAGTCCATCCATCCTGTCCATTCCTTCAATCCATGCACAGCTATCTGCCAGGCTCTGCACTGGGGTCCAAGGATGCCAGGCATGTGTGACAGAGCCCTCTCCCTGTGGGCTCCCAGATCAGGAGGCCGTCAGACAAGAAGGACTGCTTAATAATGCCAGATATGGCTGGCGCGGTGGCTCATGTCTGTAATCCCAACACTTTGGGAGGCTGAGGTGGATGGATCACCTGAGGTCAGCAATTTGAGACCAGCCTGACCAACATGGTGAAACCCCGTCTCAACTAAAAATACAAAATTAGCTGGGCATGGTGGCGCATGCCAGTAATCCCAGCTACCTGGGGGGCTGAGGCAGGACAATCGCTTGAACTCGGGAAGCAGAGGTTGTGGTGAGCCAAGATTGCGCCACTGCACTCCAGCCTGGGTGACAGAGCGAGACTCCGTCTCAAAAAAAAAAAAAAAAAGCCAGATATGTGCTGTGACCCCAGGGTCCCAAGTATGGCAGGATCGGGAAAGCCTTCTTACAGATGATGCCCACGCTGGATTCTGAAGACGAGTACAAGGACGTGCAGAAAAGTCTGGAAGCAAGAGCCACTGTCAGCCTGTGACGGCAGAGCCTGTTTTGTTGACGGTTGTATCCCCGGTGCCTAGAACATCTCAGTAAATGTTAGAATAAGTCAATGTTTGGCGAGAGCTGCTGGAAGCCTCTAGGGTTGAACCAATGCACATGGTTGTAAAGTGAAGCAAATGGGTGACGGGGCAGGATCACACGGGCCTTCCTGCCCCACAGACTCCTCGTGCTTTCTCACGGGGCAGTGGGAGCCATGGGAGGTGGTTAGCAGAGGGGCGGCCCCCACCTCACCCTCCATTCCCTTTCCCTGACTCTGACTTGATCCAGCGCATGTTCCCCCCAGCTGTCCTTTCCTTCGTCCAATAAGTCAGTATCTGTTGATCTGTTGAAATAGGCACATAGTGAACACCTCCTGCATGTCACTGTGCTGTGAGCCAGAGGAGTCCAACAGTCCAGCCCACACGTTACCCACTGTCCAGAACGGGGACTGTGAAAGTGCTTCCACTGGGGGGGCGGTCTGTGAGCCCCTGGGATTTTGTGTGTGTGTGTGTGTGTGTGTGTGTGTGTGTGTGTGAAATTCCATAGCTTTTTTTTTTTTCTTTTTTCAAGACAGAGTCTGGCTCTTGTTGCCCAGGCTGGAGTACAGTGGCACAATCTCAGCTCACTGCAACCTCTGTCTGAGAAGTTGCCATGGGGGAGGGGCAAGACTCAGGCCAGGGACAGGGCAAGGGCAGTAGGATCAGCGGGTCAGATCAACACAGCCAAAGGGGCACAAATGCTCCCTGAGTGTGGCGGCTGGCAGAGGGGCGTCTTTCAACACTGATTCTACCTTCCTTCCCCACCCCAGTGCTCAGGGCCATGTGGTGATTTTTTTTTTCTTTTGATGTCCCTTTCCCACTTTCACCATCCTCATTCATTTCTTTCTTTTTTTTTTCATGCCCAATTGTTGCCTTTTCCCAGATGTTTGTTTATTTATTATTTGAGACAGGGTCTCACTCTGTCACCCAGACTGGAGTGCAATGGTGTGATCTCAGCTCACTGCAGCCTCCGCCTCCTGGGTTCAAGCAATTTTCATGCCTCAGCCTCCCGAGTAGCTGGGATTACAGACATGCACCACCATACCCGGCTAATTTTTGTATTTTTAGTAGAGACGGGATTTCACCATGTTGGCCAGGCTGGTCTCAAACTCCTGACCTCAAGTGACCCACCGCCTTGGCCTCCCAAAGTGCTGGGATTACAGGTGTGAGCCACTATGCATGGCTCATTTGTTCATTAATTTGATTTGTTTTGTTTCCCTCCCTCCCTTCCTTCCTTCCTTTCATTTTGTCTTTCTTTCTTTTTTGAGACAAGGTCTTGCTCTGTAGTGATCATAGCTCACTACAGCCTCAACCTCCTGGGCTCAAATGATCCTCCCACCTCAGCCTCTAGAGTAGCTGGGACCCATGCCACCACATCCGGCTAATTTATTTTTTAATTTTATGTAACGACGAGAGTCTCACAATGTTGCCCAAGCTGGTATCAAACTCTTAGCCTCAAGCTATCCCTCCGCCTTAGCCTCCCAAAGTGCTGGGATTACAGGCATTAGGGGATTACAGGCCTGAGCCACCACACCTGGCCCTCATTTATTACTTTTATTTATTCTTGGACACCACCTATAAGGAAGACATGAGAGTGTTAGGAGCACCAAGCTCTTGTCTCATTGAGCAGGGTTGGGAGGTCACTGGGGGGTGAAGAGAGGCCAGGGGAGGCCCAGGCAGGCTCCTCCCTGGGGCCCCCTCACCCCACGGGTCAGGGCTGTGGAAGGTGGGGTCCTGCGGTGGGGAGGGGCTGGCTGGGATTTAAAGGGGCTTCAGAACATGAGATGCAGTGGAGGTCATGTGATGATATCATCCCTCAGGATTCTGTCTGCCTGGAGCCCAGAGCAGGAGGAGTTGGTGCAAAGAGTGTGCCCAGCACATCTCAGCATCGTCCAGCAGAGAAGATGCCCTGAACTCTCAATTTCCTCTTCTGTAAAATGGGGACAGTGTAGACCCAAAACTATAAGACTGTGGAGAAAAATAAGTGAGCTGTGATACATGTGACATTTCTGGTAATAATCGTGATCTTGGGTTGCCAGTGGGTTCCCAGTATCCATTATATTATTAAAAATTAAGAGGTGGCCACTTGTGGACCCTGGGGAGTGTGTGTCATAAACCAAGGGTTATGGTTAATCCAGTGTGTACCCGAGGTCATGAAAATATGCCTCTGAGGCCAGGCAAGGTGGCTCAAGCCTGTAATCCCAGCACTTTGGGAGGCCAAGGTGGGAAGATCACGAGGTCAGGAGTTCAAGACCAGCCTGACCAACATGGTGAAACACCATCTCTACTAAAAATACAAAAATTATTGGCATGGTGGTGGGTGCCTGTAATCCCAGCTACCTGGGAGGCTGAGGCAAAAGAATTGCTTGAACCTAAGAGGTGGAGGTTGCAGTGAGCTAAGATTGCGCCGCTGCACTCCAGCCTGGGCGAGACATCATCTCAAAAAAAAAAAAAAAAAAGCCTTTGAAGTGCTTGGCACCTGCTGAGTGCCAGTCTGCATCGCCTTAAACTCTGGCAGTAATTGGGGGAGGGTGAGATGGAGGTCCCTGAGAGGAGGAGCACACTGTTGACAGATTCCTGGCTGCACACCAGGCGCTGCACTTGTCCTCATTCCTCCTCACAGTATCCCTTTGAAGAAGAGATCCTTGATCCTCTTTCACCCAGAAAGGACACTAAGGCTGAGAGAAGAAGTGACTTGCCCGAGGACACTCAGCAGAAACGCAGCAGAACTGGGATTTGAACTCAGCCTCCAGACTCAGAGCTCTTTCTCCAACCTCCTAACTGCCTTGGGCTTCCCCAACTCAATAGGAACATTGCCTGAGGGCCTCTGGACACGGCCGCCTCCCCAGGGCCCAGAGGTGACAACACACACAGCAGCCGCCTAGCGGGCTCCCTTTAGCACCCACTTCTCATCCATCTCCTTAAAGCTCATCCAGCAGGAGCCAGGCCCCCTGGGGAGTGTCCATGCATCCTGGCCCATGACCCTACCCTCCACCATGCTCAGGGCTGTTCCCTTCTCCCCTCCAGGCCACTCCCCACTTCACAGGAGGCCAGGGGAATGCTAGGAGTGAGAGGGTGGGAGACAGGAGGAAGGGGCCATAGAAAGGGGCTTCTCCTGGAAGAACGAGCCTTTGGAGTCAGGCCACTGGTGGAGCAGAAGTGAGGGACGCAGAGGACTGGCACCAGGCAGGGGCTGCTGAGGCTCTGGGGGAGCTGGGTGGCTGAAGGCAGGCCTTCTGGCGCCATGAAGCCATCCATGTGCACTCTGTAGCTCCAAACAAGGCCTGGCCACTCCAGTAGGCTGCAGAAGGCAGTCAAATGGCTGTGGACGTTTGCACCCCCCGGCTCAGTTCCTCTACCTCTCATCCCAAGATAGCCAGAACTGTTTTGCCCAGGGCCCTGGCACTGCCCCAGCCTGGGGGCAGCAGGAATAGGGGGAAGAGTCCTGGTTGTGGGCCACCCAGGTCCAGGGCTCAACTCCTACATGGCTCTGCTGCCATCATGCCGTCTGGCCTCGGGCAGCTCACTGCACTCTCTGAGCCTCAGTTAAAAAAAAAAAAGGAAGCTTGTTGGACCGGTGGATCTCTATCTCTCGGCTCTTCCTGCTTGTGTGTGTGATTCTAACTCCAGAGTGGGAGAGGGCTAGACTCCTTCGGGTCTGGATTCAAATGTCACCTGAAGGCCGGGCACAGTGGCTCATGTCTGTAATCCCAGCACTCTGGGAGGCTTGAGGTCAGGAGTTTGAGACCAGCCTGGCTAACATGGTAAAAACCCATCTCTACTAAAAATACAAAAAAATTAGATGTTTGTGGTGGGCACCTGGTGTTCATGGTGGGCACCTGTAATCCCAGCTACTCGGGATCCCGAGGCAGGAGAATCGCTTGAACCCAGGAGGCGGAGGCTGAGGTGAACCAAGATTGAGATGGTGCCACTGTACTCCAGCCTGGGCAACAGGGCAAGACTCTGTCTCAAAAAACAAAACAAACAAAACAAAATAAATCACTCCCACGCCCCATAAAACACACTTAAAATTGCCCCAACACTTCCCATGTTCCTTTCCTGCTTCGTTCTGGCCCCACCACGGCAGTTCTCACCTCCCAACCCTTACTTGTGTGTATTTATCCCGGTTCCAGCAGTAGCACGTCAGCGCCATGGGAGGGTGAGATGGGTCTGTCCTGTGCACTGCCGTGCCTTTCATGCCTGGAGTGTAGTAGGTGCTCAATAAACATTTGCTGAGGATGTGGCAGGGGTCGGGGCGTGGGGGGGGGGTGCCAGGATCAGGCCTGAGTTTCTGAGGAAGCTGGGCAGGGGCGTGAGGACGGGGAGGAAGCTGTGCTCACCGCTTGGCTAAGAGAAGGATGAGAGCTGGGGGTGCTGCAGGCTTAGGGTAAGTGTGCAGTGTTCAGGAAAAGGAGGGAAGGAGTGCCTGGGAAGTGCCCACCTGGCAGTGATGGGCTGCCCAGGTCCACGTGTGTGAGTACAGGGGCCCCCTTAGGGGTTGGAGGGCCTCCTCTCCTACAGCTCCCTGCCCCTTCCACCCCACTACCCTCCCTGCCTCCGCACGTAGTTTCCTTAGTATCCTCTGGGCTGAGGCGGAAGGCAGCGGCGGGACACAAAGGTGTAATAGCCCTCCCTCCGAAAGCTGGAAAGCTTGCACCCTGATAAGGTGAGTAAATTTCAAAGGGGCTAATGGAGTGGGGGGTGCAGGCTACTGATAGCAGGGCCAGGGTGCTGCCAGCAGCCTCCCCACCAACTTCCCACCACCCAGAGGGCCCAGCCACCGAGCTGGCCTCTGAGCAAAACAGGTTCCAATTGTGCTCTTATCTGGGCCTGTGGTTTTGTAAGGCCCAGCTGGCTCTGCATTAATGGGGGAAAGGCAGCGGTCAGCTCTAGGGTGTGAGCAGTGATGTGGGGCTCCTCCACCCCCCACGACGGGCCTGCTGGGCTGGGGGTGCCCCTGGTTCTCTGGGGTGGGGGCAGCTCAGGGAGGGCCAGCAGACACACACCAGATCATAAGCAGTGGTGGCTGAGAGTGGAGCTCTGCGCCAGATCTTGGCTGTTACCTTTACTGTGCCAAGTGCTAAGCCCGCTGTGCCTCAGTTTCCTCCCTGAGGTTAAAATAGGGATGCTAATGATGGGTGCCGCCTCAAAGGACCATTAAGATAATGAAATGAGCTAACTGCTCTCAAGCAACCAGTGTAGTACCTCTCAGTGAGTGCGGAGAGGTGAGATGCTTGGTCAGGGGACCCGGGAAATGAGCCGCCAGGGCTTCAAGGCCCCCTCAGTCTAACTCCACAGTGCACCCTCACTTCACCTCCCGCCACCGCCACCGGGATGCACACAGGCCTGCAGAGCTCACACCCCGCCTCCTTTGTGCCTTGCTCAGATCCCACCTCCCCAAAGGGATCTGCCCTGACCACCACATCCAGCGCTGCTCTCACACCCTGCCCAGCGTTCCAGGCGGCCTGGCCCCTTCCTGTCAAGCACACACCACCTGCCACTGTACTGTGTAATCTACTCATTGCACCTTTCCTGTTGACGGCCCTTCTGTAGCATTGTAATCCTGGCGAGGCTCTCTGCTGTATGCGATGACCCGTGCCTGGCCCCCAGCAGGCCTCCTGTACGTGCCTGTGGAGGGTGTGCATGCCTGCGGGCAGGCACAGGCCGCGCTGCTCCCATCACCAGGTGGAGGTGGTCAGGAGGATGCTGGCTGTGTGTCCTGTCTGTCCCCCAAGCTGGGGCTGCAGGGTTCTCAGGCTTGGCACCTAACTCTGGCAGGAGTCCTGCCTGGCTAGGTCCACACGGGAACTCTGAGGACCCCGAGGATTGGACCCCTGGGATGGGATGGGGCCTCTTCAGATGACCTCCCAGATGCGAACCTGGCTACAGGGAGAAATGGTGCATTTGTTCGTCCCCCTGCAGGAGCTTGGGGCCACTATCTGAGGAGTGAGTCTGTGGACGAGCAGGAGATGCCAGTGATGGAACCAGGCCTGAAGCCCTTCTACCTTTTGTTTCTCCCTAGAATGGAGAGGGTCACTCAGGGTCACAGCATATAGCAGGTGTTTGTGAAACTAGCAGGCCCATAGATGGCTGCCCTTAGGAGTCATCACTGCCCTCTGAGGCAAGAAGACCCTGAGTGATTGTGACGACCGGGCCTTGAACTATCCTGAAGGGCAGGCTGTGCCCAGCCACTGTGCCTGGCCACCCTGGTCCCAGGACCTGTTTAGGGCCTGGTGGCACAGAGTAAGTGCAGGTCTGGGCAGAGCAACGTGTGGTGGCCCAGGTGTGCCTGGGGGGCCCTGGCCTGCTGCAGTTGCTGGAAGTGCCTAGTGGTATGGCCTGAGAACACAGCCGCCACCGGGTGGGCTGCTTCCCAGCCCCACGCTCGCCATCCAGCTGCAACACAGCGTCCTAGAAAGACAATGCCAACAGGGGCAGCCCGAATCCTTCCTGTGTCATTATCTAGCCTTAACTTTGGGAATGTTAATGAGCCTCTTTCCTGTCTGTGAGTGCGGGAGGCAGAGAACCCCTCTGGTGGTGGACTTGCTAGGATTAAATGAGATAACACATGTCATTTGGGAGCACAGATTGGGGTCTGGATTCAGATCCCAGCCCTGCTGTGTGTCCTTAGGCCTGGTCCCTAGCCTCTCTGGTCCCAAGGTCTTTGTGCCACGAGACGGCTGGGTGGTCTCTGGGATCCCACCAACCAAGTTTCTTGCCCATCCTGTCCCCTTTGGTCCTGTCTGGGTGACCAGCCCTAGGCTCTTCCCACCTCAAAAGGGGGCACCCTCCCCCCAGCTGTCCAGCCTTCCTGCAGCTAGAGTCTGGGTCTGGGGGTGGGACCCTGTGTCAGTCAGGAACTAACTGGCAGCTGCGTGTCCCTGTAGCTGGCATGGGTCCCAGCCTTGTCTCTGCCTCCATCTCCAGTCTAGCTGATCAGAGGGCAGGACGCAGCAAGGATGGGGGTGCAGGGAGATGGAGGCAGAAAGCTAGGAAGGCAGGAATCCAACTGACAGACAGACTTAGACGGACTATGCTTTCCAGAGTGTGCCCACTTCTGTTGCCCGTTGACAGTCATTCATCACAGTACTCCACCCGCAAGGTCAGCAGGGCAAGTGTTGTTATCCCTATTCCCAGAGGAGGCGAGGGAGACCCAGGGTGCTTGAGACTCGCTCGTGATCCCTGGTGCTCTCCACACTCACCTCTGATGAGCCAGGGGCCAGAGAGGACCAGTGTGGGGAGGAAGCTCAGGCCAGTGGCTCCAGAAACTGGTGTGTTGGGTCTGATGCTGCCAGCTGCTCTAGAATCCCTGCCTTCAAGGAGTTAGAATCTTGGGAAGAAAGAAATAAGAAATACTGGGGAAAGAATTAGAGAACAAAGACTTGGGATATGTGAGGTCTGCAAGGACTGGAGGGGACAAGGAAAGGCTTTTGGTGGAGAGAGCTCTTGAAATGGGACTCAGAAGGATGGGGATTCTCTCCACCAAAACAGGAGGAACTCAAGTCCTTTTGAACGATGGGAAAAGGAAATCAGGGGTGCATCCAGGTGTTCCCACAGCAATGTCAGGAGTGGGTCCGGCTCCAGCTGGCTCCTCCTCCTCTGGACTGTCCAAATTCTCCCTGGGGGTAGCAGCTCCTGACTTCACACGTCAAGGCTTGGAAACTCTAGTTGCAAGAGAGAATTTGTTATCTCAGTAGGTTGGAGAAAAGTTTCAGGACAGAGTCACACTGGGCCAACTGGGGTTGTGTACTGGACCCCAGATCTGGAAGGAGTGGCTGTGGAGCAGGCATCGCCCACAGCTGGTGAGTGGGGTCTGGATGGAGGGCAGACAGGAGGGGCCCATCTAACCTGATGAGAGCTGGCCAGAGGAGGATGAGACAGGAGTCCAGCCCAGGGAGCTGGAGGCAGGAAGTCTAGTGGACCCAGCGACCTACTCCAGGAACCCGGGACTTGACCCTGAGGGTGCGTGAGAGCAGCAACACGGTCTTACTGGGCATGGGGCAGTCATGGAAATTAGGGATTTGAGTTTGAATCTGCTTCCCAGCTATGACCTTGGTCATGACATTTTAAATGTACAAGCCTCAATTTCTTCCCTTGAAAAATGGGCATATGCCTGGCCCAGTGGCTCACACTTGTAATCCCAGCACTTTTGGCAGCTGAGGCAGGAGGATAGCTTGAGGTCAGGAGTTGAAGAACAACCTGGTCAACATGGTGAAAGCCCGTCTCTACTTAAAAGACAAAAATTAGCCCGGCGTGGTGGGGAGTGCCTGTAGTCCCAGGTACTGGGGAGGCTGAGGCAGGAGAATTGCTTGAACCCAGGAGGCGGAGGTGACAGTGAGCTGAGAACCCATCACTGCACTCCAGCCTGGGTGACGGAGTGAGACTCTGTCTTAAAAAAAGAAAAGAAAAGAAAAATGAGCATAGCAACACCTACCTGGAAGCGTCGCTGTGAAGAGTCAGATGGTCTTCGTCAAACACGTGGCTGCAGCTGGTGGTCAGCGAGGCCCTGGAACAGGGCAACCAGGTTCATGGAGCACTTTCACCAGCATTTTCTCCCTCCTCACGTAGCTCTCAGGGTTCTCTGGATATGGGAGGTGACTGTTCAGCAGGTTTCAGACACTTGCCCAAAGTCACAAAGCTGGAAAATGGCAGAACCAGGAAATGTACTTGATTAAATCCCAAGCTGGTGCCAAGACACCATCCCCGGTGCATCACGGTGTCAGGATCACCCAGAAGTCCCTCATTGGGAAAGTTAGCTTTTCTCCCCTGGAGCCCACCAGCATTGCCTTGGAGGCGGGGCCTGTGTGAGCCCAGGTGAGCAGATGGAGGAGCGCTAGTTTGCTCTCTCTTGGTGGACCTTTTCCAGCTTCCAGAGGCAATATTTGTTTCCCTCCTCCAGGCTTGAATGGGTAAAGACCCTGTCCACACTAGGTAGAGCTTAGCTGGGCCCATCCATTCAGGAGACCTCTGTGAAGTGCTCTCTTGAGCCTTGAGTGAGGCCACACCCAGCATTCAAGGTCAGGGTTTTCCATGGTATGACCATACTCCTTCCCAATGCCACCTAGCAGTGAGGTATCTTCTCTGGCTGCAAGAATGCTGTGTCTTCATAGGTCTGTCCATTTTCTTATCTATTTAAGGTAGGATTAGGATTGGCTTCGAATAATAAGAATTCCCACTTAACGGAAGTGAAAAGTCCATTTCTCTCATAAAAGTCCTGAGGCAGGCAGTCTATTGCTGGTATGGAAGTTTTATACAATCCTGAGAGACCTGGGCTCCTTCTCTCGCTTCTAGTGAGAGTAGAGCTCACTGCTCTACTCTCTTGTCCTCATGGTCTAAGATGGCAGCCAGAATGCCAGCTATCACAGCTGCATTCCACACAGCAAGATGGAGGAAGGATAAGGAAGAAGGGAGTTAATAGTACATGCCATCTTACTTTTAAGTAAGATTCCTAGAATCTTGGCACATGACACTTCTGCTTGGTCGTAGAGTCACATCTAGCTGCAGGCGAAGCTGGGATGGTCTTGATTCTAGGTTGCCATATGCCCAGCTAAAAACCAGGCATTGACCAGGCACAGTGGCTCATGCTTATAATTCCAGCACTTTAGGAGGCGGAGGTACAAGGATTGCTTGAGGCCAGGAGTTCAAGACCAGCCGGGGCAACATAGGGAGACCCTGTCTCTACAAATATAAATAACATAAAAAATAAAAAGCCTTGTTTACTGAGGAAAAGGGGAGAATGGGCAGCTATCTCTGACACCTCACCCACTCAATAAACATTTTTTTTTTTTTGAGCTTCACTTTGTCTCCCAGGCTGGAGGGCAGTGGCATGATCTCCGCTCACCGCAACCTCCACCTCCTGGGTTCAAGCGATTCTCCTGCTTCAGCCTCCTAAGTAGCTGGAATTACAGGTGTCCCCCACCACGCCCGGGTAATTTTTTTTTATTTTTAGTAGAGATGGGGTTTCACCACGTTGGCCAGGCTGGTTTTGAACACCTGACCTCAAGTGATCTGCCCGTCTCAGTCTCCCAAAGTGCTAGGATTACAGGCGTGAGCCACAGCACCTGGCCTCAATTAACATTCATTAGGTATTCCTTGTACTTACCCACATTATAGTATGATGAATAGCTTAGCATCTCATGAGCACCAAACAGTGCCTGGCATATGGTAGGTGCCTGTTAAGCAGTGGCCATTATTATTAATGCATCAGAATGCTGTGATATAAGCCAGGCTTCTGTGAGAGTGGGGAGGGGGGCCTGGCCAGCAGAGAAGCAGGCACAGAAATGCACTCTAGGGGAAGGAGGTCCACCTAGAAAAGCAGGATGTCTTTCTTTACTGGCCCTGGAGGGCTGGGCCACTGGCTTAGGAATGGTCGGCCAAGCGTACCTTCTCAGGACCTTACCTCCCCTTCCTCCGCCTGTCCTACCTCAACCTTTTCTGGAGAATGACTGATAACTGATCCTCACCAATGTGCCAGTGATGATAACAGCCAAGTACAGGACTCCCTGGGGTGCAGAGTGCTGCCTTACGTTGGAGAACATGGGTATTGGTGAAGGTGAGGGGCGAGTTCTGAAGGCCTCAGGAGCCTCCTGCAGCTCCAGGATACTCACACTGTCACAGTGACACGGTGACTTCTGAAACAAGAGAATCAGCGTTATCTAGAACTTTCTCCCCTGACAGAATGGAGGTAGCAGGTACGTGAAGCCCTTCTGAGATGTTTTGGAGAAAGGAAGGCCCAGCCTCCAGGGACCACCCTCAGCCCACCTGGCAGGACAAAGAGGAAGCCAAAAGCTGGACTCCGTGGCCCCCGTGGGCTCATGGAGGGGGAGAGGCTGGGGCAGTAGGTGCTTGGTGGTGGGTACCCTTGTCCTGTGTGATGTCCCTGCTGTCACCCTTTGGGGCTGAGGGAGGGCCAGTTGCTGCTGGCTGGTCCCCACTGTGGGCCTGGGAAAATGAGCTGGGAGTCCTCCCTCACCGCCACTGTGTGACAGGCCTGCATGAGGCCCCTGTGGGACACGGAGAACACCGTTCCCATCAGGTGGGGGTTGTCCCACAAGCCTTAGGACCCCTCCCCAGGATTCTCTGATTTGCTCTCCATCCCTGGCCTGGGCATCCAGACAGCACCTCCTCCAGGAAGCCCTCACTGATTTCCCTGGCTGATGCACACCCTCAGTGCCCCCACAGCCCGCCATCAGGGCATGGGTGGCTCTGGATCTCCACTGCTGCTCACTTGTCTGTCCCTGGCCCTCAGCTGATCCATCTTAGAACCCCAGCCCTGCTCCCACTCAGTGCATCTCCTGCGCCTTGCACATAATGTGAGCTCAGTAGCTATGCAGCAAGCAATGAATGAGTAAATGAGCGAGTGAATGAACGAGTCCCTTGGCTGTCAGGGCATGGATCCCCAAGCAAAGAGGGGAGGCCCTCAAGGGTTAACCGGGAGCCTGCCTGTGGTCTGAGGTAAGCAAGGAGTGTATTTGTTCAGGTAAATAAGGAAGGATTACTTATAATGGGAAATCGGGCCCTGGCCAGCTCTTCATCTTGCGGCTAACTTCCTCCCAGCACATTCCTGCACTCTGCTGCGTCCACACTGCCTCACAGACCCAGTCCTCTAAGCCTGCTGCCACCTCCCTGCAAGCCCCTCAGATTGGGCCTTGCCACGGTGCCAGCAGGTAGCCCTGGGCTGGGGGTAGGGGACTCTCTACAGGCACATAGCCCTGAGATCTCAGAGAGCCACCCCTTGAGGGTGGCCAGGCCCCCAGCAGTCAACGCGAGTGCTGCCTCTGCCACCAGGCCTGCTGGCCTCTAGTTCCACTGGCCCCCCAGATGCCTGGCTGAGACACGCCAGTGGCCCCAGCTGCCCACACCTCTTCCTGGCCTCCGAAGTTGGTACTGCAGCAGACAGCTCCCTGGGCACCAGGCAGCTAACAGGTGAGTCTGACGGGAGGTGCAGGGGGCCACAAATGGCTTTGCAGCTGCTGTCCTCCTGGCATGGGGACTTTCCCTGCCAGCTGTGGGGTGGGTAACTGCAGGTAGGACTTGGGGTGGGGGCGCACTTTGCCAGCTCAGAGCTCACTTCCCAGTCATCAGTGACCCTGTGACCTGGGTCCCTTTATCCTCAGAATTCCTGCCCCGCTCCTCGTGCTGCCCAGACTGCCTCCTTGGGGCCAACTCCAGATGCTGGGTGAGCCCCCTTGTCTGGCAAGGCCTGGGGTACCCCATATCGAGCCCAGTCTACCCAGCCTGAGGGAGGGAAGGCCGCTGTGCAGGTGCAGAGCGCCTGGCCCTGAGACCCAGCCAGTTCTGCTTGGCTAGCAAAACACAAGTGGCTTTGCAGCTTCTGCCAGCCCAGCTGCTCTGCCAGGGGAAGGGTCTCCCTGGTGCCGGGTCACCAGAGGGCAAGGGCTCGCTGGAACCTGGTGGGTCAGGGCTGGAGCCAAGGCCGGGTCCAGGTCGGGGCAGGGGAGACAAGTCCAGAGCCACAGGAGCTGGGCTGGGCAGGGGTGGCCACAGGAGCCAGGGGTCTGTGGTCACTGCCGAGCACACCCTCTGAGCCCTTGGACACCGGGAGAAGCTGAGGGCCTTGGGTCCCAGTCTTGGCACACAAGGAAAGCAGCATTAGTGGTCCCTGGAAGGTGCTCATTTCCAAGATTTGCCAGATTCCTGCAGTGGGGAGACAGGAAGTGGGGGGTGGGATGACAGGGTAGGAAGCTGAAGGACCTGGGTGACTGGGTGCCCCTGAGGCTGGCCACGGTGTGTGTGGTGTGTGTGTGTGCATGTGTGTGTGTGCGTGTGTGTTGGGGATGGACAGGACCAGATCCCTCACCTCACCTATCGTCTGGGGCCACCCAGCAGCCCACACCCAGGCCCCGAGCCCCAAGTAGCCTGCGTCCTTTATGATGGCCATGGGCTTTCTCCTCCTCTTTGGCCAGGGCTGGGACTTGCCTCATTTCCTGCCCCAGCCTCCCCAATAAAGCTGCATCTCCCCATCACCAGCTGCTCAGCTGAGTAACAAAGCAAACAGGCGTCCAGGCTGCCCCAGGCCCAAGCTGATGGGCAGGGATGTGGAGGAGACGCCCCACCAGATAGGTAGGCTCAGGCCATGGCTCAGTCAGGCCAGTTGGGCTGAGCTTCCCCCCACCCACCTGCAACAGGGACCAGAGCCAAGGACCCCCAACTTGGAGTCCCACTACCCCACTTCACAGACAAATGGTGGGGGGCATCCTCAGAGCTCCCAGAGAGGTGGTGCTCTGTGGAGGATGTGGTCTTACGGGGTAGGGGACCGCCCTCCTCTTTGAGAGCCTGAGAGTGCACGTACAAACATTTCCTCTGATCAAGGCCCTGGGCATCCAGAGCTGAAATCTACCAGACTTGTTTATTGCACACTATTAGTTATAAAACACTTCGGTTTTCACAAGGACCTTCTGAATTAGACAGGGCTTCTCTGTCAACCAAGTCTGATGGCATAGGCTGCACTCAGTAGGTGCTCAATCAATGCTCAGAAAGTGTGATGCTGGCGGAAGTGCGAAGACTGGGACCCAATTTTTACCACCGAGGTGGTCGCAAGTATAAAGTGAACAGCCCTGAAACAATTAGAGCAGTTTTGTGCTAAGTGACTTGATGCCTCAGAATGTTAATTCACTTCCTCTGGGAAGTTAATTCAGGCTGATGGGGGACAGAGACCCTCTAGGTAGAGGGCAAGAAGGAATGGGTGAGGTCCCGCTATGTGGGACAGTGGCGGGTCCCTTTTCCTCACTGCACTTGCAACATCTTGTCTGTGAGACAAGAAGGTTAGACAAGGCTGTTGTCTATTAATGCAGGCTTCTTGGAGGAGACAACCTGAGCAGGCTTTGAAGACTGTGTAGGAGTCGGATTTGCCAGCCTGTCTCCTGGGCTGGGGTGGGGGGAAATGGGAGGGGCGGGAATTCTTGGTTCTGGCTCCTCCTAGAGGGCAGGGAGGGTGGGTGATGCCTGCAGCTGCCTGGACTGGGCTAGAGAGCAGGACAGGACCCCGGCCTCCCTCACTGCCATCCTCAGCTCCCGCCAGACTCCACCCTCTGGCCTACCCCCTCTACCCGCCGTCACCGCCTGCTTCTTCTTTTGCTCCCTCTGCTTCCTCACCCCATTCCCTCTCTCTTTTCTCTTCTCCAGCCGATCCCCTCACCTGCTCCCAGGGCCCCCCTCACACAGGCACGCTCAACCCATCATAAATTCTTTCCATTCACCCTCCATCTCAATCTCCACAACCCTTTAAGACATGCTCTTGACAGCCCATTTGACAGACAGGACAGCTGAGTCTCAGAGAGGGCGGAGTAACTGGCCCCCGCCACAGAGCTAGAGAGCAGAGAGTCAGGGATCAAACCTGGTCTGGGACCCTCCCCTGGTCCCCACCCCCACCCCATTCATGCCCCACCCAGTGCCCCCAGCCAAGTGAGTGGCCTGTCAGGTGGAACAACTCTTCCCAAAGCAAACTTTGCACAAGCCGAGTTGCCCTGGGCTCTTCCTGACATTTAATGCCAGGCTCCTTCTCCTGGCTACTTTGCGTGTTTTCAGCCTGGGAGGCACCCCCTGCCAGATTCGCTCTCCCACCTCTCAGTGGCTGGGGTGGGGGCATGGAGGGGGTCTACAGGCTTGCGGAAGGAGAGACTCATCCTTCCTCCCCAGCCGAGGACCTTAGTGTGACTCTGCTGGGGGTCGGATGGGACCAAGGCCTCCCCAGGATTATGACAGGCAGTGGGGTATCTCTGAGCACCACCAGGACCAAGGCCCCCCTCCTCCTCCCTCCAGCTCTGGCACAGGGGAGAGGTGGCTGGAGGGACTGCCTAGGCTGGGGCTCCAGCACCTGAGACTGGTTGGGGGGCAAGGCCCAGGCCTCTGCTCCTGGGGTAGCAAGTTGCCCTGAGGGCTGCTGGGACCTAGCTCCTTCTGCCCAGCCCATCCTCTGTGCCAGGACAAAAGGGGGATGTGTCTCTGCTGACAGTTCACAGGTGGGAACGACCCTGATAACCCCCAATAACCCATTCCTGCACAGCTCAGCCTTGTCGGTAGCCATGTCTACTCTTAGCTTCTCAGGACAGATCTTTCTGAACTCTTCTCATCTGTGGTGTTGGAGTCCTTCGATTTGTCCTAACACCCCTTTCCTAGCCTGGAGGTGTGCTCCAGGGCCTGGGGATCAGGGCTCAGGCAGGATTTTCCCCTCAGCTCATCAAGATTTTACAGATCAGCAACCAGGTGTGGGGGAGGGGGGGGCTCTGCCTTCCTGGCCTGTGATGGGTCTGGAGGGGGCTGCAGAAACAGATAGAGACAGCAGTAACCATTGTGGACGCTCACCTCTTGGGAGATGGGAAGGCTTTTCACATCACTGTGCTGCCTGGTGACTTCAAAACCCAGAGGCACAGCTGTCTTTACGAGTCCCCATTTCACTTCTGAGGCTGAGATCGGCCAGGGTGCCCCAGGTAGGAGGGGCAGCGCTCCAGGTACATCCCTGTGTTCTCGTGCCCTCAACAACTTGGCGGCCTGGCTGGGCAAGGCCAAAGGGAGAAAGACACCCAGGAAACCTCACGGCCCCTGTCCTGTGGCAGGCTGGGAGGTGTGGTGTATACAGGGCTGGAGGAGAGCAGAGAAGAGGGAAGGTGCTGTGGGTGTGAGGATGAGACTATTCCAGAGGGGCGGCCATGTGACCTGGGCTATGTCACAAAGCTGGGATGTATGTGCAGGTGGTGGGGCCATGGCAGCTTTGGCGGGGCAAAGAGGCCTGACTGGGGCACCAAGAAGTGAAATATATTTACACACACATGGGCTCAACCAGGGCTGAGGGAAGATGTGAATGACAGTTTCTGGAAAGTCCTAAAAGTTGAGAGGGATTGTACTTGCGATGGTAGGAAACTGGGTTCTGTCCCTGCCCCATCATCGTGACTCACTGCAAGCCCCAAGCTTGTCTGGGGTGGGGTCCCTGCTGGCTGGAGGAGGCGGGGAGGTGCCGCTGCTGAGGAGGGAGCCAGGGGAGGTGCCGCTGCTGACGGGCAGCTCATGAGGTGCAGGACAGCCTGAAGCCGGCTCTGCTTCTTTAGAAGGGTGGGCCGAGTCTTTCAGAGCCTCTAGACACCAGCTCTAGGGATAGTGGGGGACACACAGCCACACCCCTCATCCTGCCAAAAGTGTCAGCTGTGAATGGAGTACACCTGTTTACAAGGAAGCCCAAGGTGTCCCCTTCTGCATCTCCACCATCCTTCTTTAAGTCCCCAAAGCCAGGCTGACAGCAAGATGAGGGTCCTGGGTCATAGAATCCAGACAGTGCCCAGGCTGGAAAAGTCCTCAGAGATGCCCTGCCCTACAGAGCAGGAGACTGAGGGGCAGGGCCTCGCCCAGCGTCTCCTACAGAGGAACAGGCAGGGCATGACCTGCATCTCCCAAAGCTGAGGCTTCTAGTTCTTCCAGCCAACATCCCCCTTCAGAACAAACTCAGCTACGATGGTCTGCCTGGGGCTGCGGTGGGCCTCTGTACCTCCAGGCTGGGGGCACCTGTGCCACCCACACCCCACCAAGGTGACTGTTGTGGGGCTGGGTTGGCAGATGGCCTGAGGGGAAGCAAAAGGGATGGTCAGCAGGGGCCACCTTAGGAGCTAGAAGGTTTGGGGTCTGCCAGCACCAGCATTTCTGGCAGGGTGGGGCCGCGTCTTGAGTTCGAGTCCCTGCTCGCTCACACACAGACGGGCGCCCTGTAGCAGGTCACAGCGCCCTTTTCCGTCAAGTGGGAATAATGGTGGCTGCCCGAGCTGGGAGAGCCCGGCAAAGCAGTTTATTCAGTTTGACCTTCCTCTTGTCCCAGAAAGTGCTGGAAGTGATGTCAGTGAGGGTGTGTGTGGACACCGAGGCTGTTCAGGCAGCAGAGCACAGAGGAGACTTCGCTGATGCGGACGTGTTCCTGCTGC